ATAAACATGTATATTCAAGTTACTGGATTGATTTGTCTGCATATTATATGCAGATTAAATTCTGTGTGTTTGCTATAAGACAACCACACACATTTTGATGTTACATGATATGTGTGGACATCCAAAAGTACGCTACGCCCGCCCCCCCCCCCTCCTCCACATCCGGTCGACACGCATTCACTAAATTTGAATGTTTGATTCCTGTCCTCCCCCCCCCCCCCCCCGCCACACACCCCACACTTCCTCCGCGGTTCTGAAATTAAAATAACCCCCTACCCCGGTTCTCCGGGGGTAAAGGTGTACTTGCTGAACAACACCACCCCTGGACAGCGCCCAAATTCTCCTGTTCTTTTCGCGCCTTAAATCCAAAACCCAGCTACACCCCTCAACTATTTAATTTTCTTCCCTGATTCAGACAAAGCGAACGTAATAGAAATCAATCATAGACCACCAGACAGGCGTTAGCAGGCTTCAGACAGGATCGATACACTATTTTACCTAATCATTCGAATTATGATCACTAAAACAAAATAAATGGAAGACATCGTCTTAATGGAAATGTTTCGGCAATTTTATTACAAAGGCAAAGACACATTTCGAGATTACATCCAGTGTTACTCAATAACACGACTCTACCTTGTAACCGAAAGCTTGTATGGTTTTACTCACGTTTCCCCATATATCTGTTACTACAGCTGTAGTATAGTTGGTTATTTCCATTGATGGCTTCTGCTTTTATAGATATAGGCCTATATGGTGTGCTGACGTAATTGACCACAAACATGGCTTTACGTTTTTTTACTTTCTCGTATATACGAAGTATAGAGAAAGTCTTGTAATCGTGAAAAAAAAAAAAAAAAATCGAGATTTTTACAAATCTCGACGTTTTACACCTCACTGATACGGAAAAACGTAATTTTGCAATCTTGTCCGTATGTCTGTGTGTCTGTCTGTGTGTCTGTCAGTCTGTCCATGTGTAAACACGATAACTTGAGTACCGTTACAGCTAGGTTGATGAAATTTCATATATAAGTATTTTATCAAAATCGTAGATCCGTATCAACTTTTGAGCGATTTCCGATAACCGGAAGTGGTACTTTTTCTACTTTGAATTTTTCAAAAGCCTATAACTTGAGTACTATTTCAGATAGATAAATGAAATTTCACACGTAAGTAAAAGATCTAATTTTCTATCTTCTGTTAAAATTTGAGTAATTTCCGTTGACTGGAAGTAGTACTTTACGCTACTTCCGATTTCTCAAAAAACTAATGTAAATTTTAAAAGTACTAATAATATTGCGCACTATTATGCGCTTTTTTATTTGGCGTTCACTTGGTGTGCAATTAATTTGTCTACGAGATTTTATTCTATTTTTAAAACTTTAAGTATTTAAAATGGATTAAAAATCATGTCTATAGCCCGAGTTCCCATCCCCTGTTATTTTATATAAGAATAATCGAGAAAGTTTAGGGGAGATCACTCCCGGTTTATTTTAACTATGACAATACAGTCGTTATTAGCATTCAGGCGTAGAAAGTGTGATAATCTATGTGATAATGTATAGGAGAGATAGACACAGACATATATATATATATATATACATAAACATAGACATGGACGTGGACATAAAAATGGACATGGATATTGACGTATATATATATATATATATATATATATATATATATATATATATATATATATATATATCGAAGTAATGTTTGAACCACCCCACCTCTGACTGATTCCTTAATATGCCACTGGTTAGAATGCTTTTGAATACCAAGTTGTTTTTGCGTCGAGGTGGTTTAAATTACAAAGTTTTTTTGTGACATTACCTAACACATCGAGTCTAGAATCGCAGTAAAAAACATAACTCATATGATGGTATCTTTCTTGCCTAAGACAAGATGTTCACGTCTCATTTGAAGTCCGCCGTTGCTTGTATTGTCCACATCATTTTCCCGTACAAATTGTTTGTACCGTAAAACTATTTGACGGACGAGATCACTGACTAACAACGTGGTGGTGTTCGACTCGATCATTTTAATGACGAACACGCCATCTGCTCGAAGGTAGTGTCTGACTAGAGCACTCAGCTCCTTACCTGTCAGAGCACCCGTGCCCGAGTCGGCCCAGTCAAACATACAAGTGTATTTTTCTACGGCCTCCCGTAGCTTGGTCTGGCTGGTCAGCTGGTAGGTCCACTTGGCTAGACTGCAGAGGTTGGCAACCAGAAGAAGCCACAAGCACACCCACAGGAGCAGGAACATCTTCTCCAGGAAGACGGCCATGGTCAGCACGCACTGGACAGTAAAGGGCTGTGTGTTGGCCAGCTGGCGCAGGTTAAAGTCGCAGTAGGCCAGACGCGGGAACAAGTCGTCCAGCGCCTCACCTTCCTGCAGGGCTGACACGGCACTGTAGCCAAACGTCCAGAAGTTCAAACCCAAGAAGGACGAAATGAGGAAAAACTGGACAATGACATTTACCAGGTACATCGTTTTTGTCAATAGATAGACGAGCGTTAGAAATCTTCCAGATCTTTTCCCACACCAGGCAGTAACTGGAGCCAGTCGTCTCCCTGCTGTGTTCTTGCCACTTTTGCTGTAAGGAAACGAAAGCTTTAAAAGCGTTTTATACACGTATAGTATAAAGGTTTCTATGTCATTTATACACGTTGAATGTTTAGGTATCAATGTATACTAGAACAAATTGAATGTAAAGACACGTATGTCATATGATGAACATTGATAACGTGAGATTTGTTTGAGAAAAGAAAAGCACCTCGTGTGTGAATAAACTGTGATCCAGCGATGCAGGAACTCAGAAACAAAGCCCAGCTGTTTGTCTCGATCTTCTTGACTGGACTTGACAGTGTCTAGAGTCATGTCTGGAATCAGAAGGACACATTTATGGCCATTATTTAGTTGGGACCTTCTACTTTATTTTTTTTTAAATGTAAAACATTCTTTGATCACTAGACGGCGAGCTGTCTGTTAATTAATGATTGGGGAGCTGTTAATTAACGACTGCAGAGCTGTTAATTAACAATTAGTAAAAATGCATCGTAAACTCTAAAGAAATATATTTTATATAGTTACCAATAATTTTACTGACGTTGATTCCAGAAAAGTGTTTGATTTCCTTCCAAAAAAATTTGGGTACGCGATACAACATGGCCAGACAGAGGAAGAAGACGGTGGTCCAGCGGTAGTAGCTGATGCTGTGCTTGTACCTGCAAGTTCACAGGAGAGTATCGAGCTTATATATTTGTCTCAACAAGAACGTGCTGGCTAGAATTGGTGCTATTTAAACAACAAAAGAGAGTTTATACGAATGGAATAAAAATAAAACTTATGAAATAAACAGAACTACTCGAATACACTGGTCTTGTTCTAGGACTGGACAGAAATAAAACAAATATTAAAAAAAAAACCTTTACAGCAACAAGCTTTTAAATGAAATGAAAATCGGAAAATAAAACTATTCTGCTTTCGTCAGTATAACTTTTGTCGCTAAAATATTAAATATGTAAAAGTTCTCATAAGCGACCAAAGCTTTACGTAAGACAACACATTAGTTAAATTATCTTATTTTCATTTCATTTAAAAGCTTGTTGTTATAAAATAAAAATGTTTTATTGTATTTTTTTATTTCCTACATTTTAGTGATTCCTAATTTATGAAGTTAACACGATTAAAAATATTTGCTTTAAAACACCATCAGTAACTTGTGATATCTAAAAGACGATGATATGCCCATTAAAAGCTGTCGTCCGTAACCATATTTAACAGACGACAGCAAGTTCTACATATTGTTACCTCCCTTTAGTTTTAAGTCGTTTGAAAACTTTATTATCTGCCCCTAATCTGCCCCTTCACTAGACGGATTGTAAACATTCTCGCAACGAAGCCGTATTAGGGCTATTCACAGTCGTGACCGTTTTTGATAGATGTAATGTTAAAAAAACCTTACTTGATATGAAGTAACAATAAATGCTTTTATTATTTTAAGATATTATTTCCAGTCGTATTTAGCATGAAATGGCAGCCGACTGCGAATAGCCGTATTGGGGCTATTCACAGTCGGCTAGGAAAAGCCCCAATACGGCTATTCACAACCGGCTGGGAATAGCCGTGGCCTTCTCGTAAACCACAGATAACCAGAATGTTAGTGTGATCGCGTCTAGCTACTTATCACCCCATTCTCTAATTCAATTCAGAAATCCATCGAGTGCTTTAATTATCTCACCTTAGTTTCGACCCCGTTTAATTAGTTTTAATGACTTATTAAACGTCTGATTAAATTAAAATAATAGATAGACATATATTGTCATCAAAGTGGAGCGTGTCTGGATAGTTTGAACGAAATCGCTGCATTAGAAGTGGGTCAAAATTGAGTTATAAGGTTTGCCACAAACCCACAAACAAACAGAAGTGGCGAATTAAATGAAAGTATGTAATAAAAATGACGGGTAAGAACTTGAGCTGCCCTACCTGTCTTGCTCTAGGACTGGACAGAAAAAATTAAGTTTTAGAACTGGAGCAGCCCTACCTGTCTTGCTTTAGGACTGGACAGAAAAAATGAAGTTTTAGAACTGGAGCAGCCCTACCTGTCTTGCTCTAGGACTGGACAGAAAAAAATGAAGTTTTAGAACTGGAGCAGACCTACCTGTCTTGCTCTAGGACTGGACAGAAAAAAATAAAGTTTTAGAACTGGAGCAGACCTACCTGTCTTGCTCTAGGACTGGCATCGGGCTGTCGAACGGTTGGGTGTAGAGCGTGTGAGTCCAGCAGTAGTAGTTGATGTAACGTTTGTGTTGCTTGTCCTTGTACTCAAACGGCAGCCAGCAGAAGATTGGCTCCTGGACGTACTGCTTGGTTGCTGCTGTAAAGCCGAAAGAAACAAAGACTCCATACATGACCCAGTAGTTAAGGCGGTCTACTATATCGTCATCATTCACCCCAAGTTCAAAGGCTACAACTGTAAATGCTTTGATGAGATTGCCAATCCTCAAACTGTTAGATCAAAGAGAAGAACAATTGCTTTATCTCTAGCTAATAATATAATAATAACGAGATTCTGGATACGAGCAGGATGTTTAATACGTTACAGGTAATTCGGGAAACGAATAGATTGCTTTTAGTTACAGGTGATTCGACACTCAAACAGGATGCTTAATAAGTTACAGGTGATTCAGCATACGAGCAGGTGATTCGGGATACGAACAGATAGCTTAGTAAGTTACAGGTGTCACAAATAAGTTACAACGATAATTTGGGTTACAATACATAGACTTTTACCTGGTCTATTTTTAGTCTATCACAAGCTTTATGTGTTGCTTTATAAAACAATGTCGAAAATCCTTAGAAAACATTACTGATTTACGGGCCGACCCGCGGCGTAGCATACGCCGCTGTTTAGTTGTTTTATTTTCTGCTTATCAGCAATTCAAAATTTGGGAATTCGTCACTAGCCCCCCCCCCCCCCCCCCCCCCCCCCGTGAAAGATACCGTCCATGACAAGACGACAATGAAAAGATCAAGTAGAAATTGTTACCTCCCCTTCGTTTCAAATCGTTTAAATACTTAAGTATCTGCCCCTAATAGATGCCACTAATTCAACCCGGCTCTACGATTGTAAACATCGTCGTGAACAAAAGCTCACCAGACTGGTGGGGAGGGTGGGACGGTGGTAGCGATATGCTAGGAGAGCAAGGGAGGGGGAAGCTAGGCGTGCTTACGTGGTTGTGTCCCGTATGGCCCCCATGTAGAGAATTATACATATAGATAAGGGTTAGGAGTATGAGCTCTGTAAAAGCCGTTACATGAATTTATAAATGTTCAAAGAGCTGACCATAAAAAAACTGTGACCTATTTACATTTGTTTCCAATGTTTTAACCCTTTATCTATTGATCGTGCTTATAAGTACAATTTTAATTAAACGTTTGCATTATTTTCATAATTTAAGATGAACCTTACAAAATATTGTTAGATTTAGTAATATTGCCTTGATTGAGTGACACATATCAGGCGGGATCGATGGTTTATTTTTAACATCTTCGGTGGTTATAAACACAACCATAATTTTGGACCGTGAAAACTTTACGAAACTAAATTTTTAGTAACTTATGCACACTATTGCCTTAAGAAATAAAATATCACATAGTTGAAGAAAATAATTCACTCAGAAATTAAATCAGTAATAAAAATGGCATCCACTTGGAATGGTCCAATAGATTCCGATTAATTATTTAAAAACTCATTAGTTATTAATTTGGACGTATTGATGCTCTCAGTATTTTCGGTAACTAAATCCCCCCCCCACCCCGAGGAAAATGAATTTTAAAATGACGTAACTGTATAATATAGGATTAGCATGACTTAACTAGATCATGCTGTCGTCCATTATAGGGTTGGCATGACTTAACTAGATCATGCTGTCTACATTATAGGGTGGCATGACTTAACTAGATCATGCTCTCGTCCATTATAGGGTTGGCATGACTTAACTAGATCATGCTGTCTACATTATAGGGTGGCATGACTTAACTAGATCATGCTGTCGTCCATTATAGGGTTGGCATGACTTAACTAGATCATGCTGTCGTCCATTATAGGGTTGGCATGACTTAACTAGATCATGCTGGCGACCATTATAGGGTTGGCATGACTTAACTAGATCATGCTGTCGACCATTATAGGGTTGGCATGACTTAACTAGATCATGCTGTCGTCCATTATAGGGTTGGCATGACTTAACTAGATCATGCTGTCGTCCATTATAGGGTTGGCATGACTTAACTAGATCATGCTGTCGACCATTATAGGGTTGGCATGACTTAACTAGATCATGCTGGTGACCATTATAGGGTTGGCATGACTTAACTTGATCATGCTGTCGTCCATTATAGGGTTGGCATGACTTAACTAGATCATGCTGTCTACATTATAGGGTGGCATGACTTAACTAGATCATGCTCTCGTCCATTATAGGGTTGGCATGACTTAACTTGATTATGCTGTCGTCCATTATAGGGTTGGCATGACTTAACTAGATCATGCTGTCGTCAAATGTATGGTTAGCATAACAAAATGTGTAGCTTCACTTGAGGTAAAAAAAAAACAGTGTTACCCCATTAGACAAAAAAAACCCCAATGCTATCCTTTTAGACAAAAAAAAAGTATTACCCCATTAGGCAAAAAACAAAAAAAACCCCACAGTGCTACCCCATTAGAAAAAAAAAGTTTTACCCCATTAGAAAACAAAAACAACATCAAACAAAAAAAAAAGTTAAGTTTCGTTTAAGACAAAACAATATTGTAACTTTTCATAAACAAAAAAATGTAACTTCCCTTTAAGACAAAAAAAAGTGTGTGACCCCATAATACAAAAAAAAAGAACAACAAAAAAAAAAAACAACAACTGTTTCTCGTCAATGTCAAAACAATCAGCAATCACGGTCAAATTCTAGAACTTTAACAAATCCTTAGTATAGAAACATAGACTCAAATATCCAAGACGGCCAACCTTTTTGTGTTTTCCATGACAACCAACATAATTTTCTCATGGGCTTTTCGTGTTAGGCACTTATTAAGATGTTAAGCAACTGCGTACCAAAAAAACATATAATAGTATTTCTCGAATATTCTTATATAAAACAACAGGGGATGACAACTTGGGATATAGACATGGTTTTTAATAAATTTTTAATTACTTAAACTTTTAAAAATATAATAGAATCTCTTAGAAAAAAGAATTGCGCACCAAGTAAACGCCAAACAATGTGTCTAAAAGTGCGGAATATTATTAGTACTTTATAAATTTACATGCGTTTTTTTTTAAAATAGGAAATAGCGTCAATTAATACTTCCGGTCAACGGAAATAACTCAAAATTTGAAAGTAGGAAGAGAATTAGATCTTTTATTTACGTGTGAAATTTCATTTATCTATCTGAAACAGTACTCAAGCTATATGCTTTTGAAAAAAATGAAAGTAGAATAAGTTCCACTTTCGTTTACCGGAAATCGCTGAAAAGTTGATACTGATTTACACATTTGATATGATACTTATGTATGAAATTTCATCAATCTAGCTGTAACGGTATTCAAGTTATCGTGTTCACACATACACACATACACAGGTACACATATACACACACAGACATACGGCAGTGGCGGAACTAGAAAAAAAAGGCCCCCCCGCAGAATTTTTTTTTGGGCCCCTATATATATATATATATATATATATATATATATATATATATATATATATATATATATATATATATATATATATATATATATGGAAAACAAAGGTCGCAATAAATTTTAAAAAAAAAATGTATCCGGTACCCGAATAAATCACGAGCTGGCCCCATTCAGTTTTCCATGTGAGAAGCACGGACTCTCTAAATCTAGTACAACACTCCAAACTGACGCCGGTTTTTATGAGGCTTTCATCAAAACGTTACCAACCGTGTGCCCTGTTTTCCAGAAGTTGAATTAAATGTTAACAATGTCGGCAGTTCATTTCTTGGATCTTAGGGCGCGGGTTTGTCCACACTACCAACTAGACACGCCAAGGCATGCTGTAAGTCCTTCGGCGACGACCCAGGTGTCAGGGGAGTCACGGGGCTCTTGGAGCTACCGGTTACATTACTGCACGGGTGATGGGTGCAACACATTGTTTCTTCCGGCAGAGCTCCCCCTCCCCCACCCCTCCTCCGAAAACAGTCTACCTAGGAAGAAACATTGGTGCGACACCTAATTAGATTTAGTCATCGAGTGTTGTAGCGAGACTTATTCCTAGTGTTGTGGGAACTTTTAAACGACTGTCTGTGGGGGGCCAACTTGCTCATATGTGATGCGCTCAGGATGACACTGACGCCGGTTGTATTCAAGTAGTAACCTCATCCGTTTATGCAGGATCACGGGGCGCTAAATCACATATTTCCGTTAGGAGTCCCCACTCCAATATGTACAAATGTTAGGCCTATGACAGAAACTTTTGCGGGGCTGTACTCAACAGCTTCCCAAGTTTTCATGGCGATTGGGTGAATGATGCAGTAATGCAAAATAGACAGAAAAATGTTTTTCACATGTACAACTGTATGTGTATGTGGCCAGGTCACGCGTTGGATAACCTTCTGATTTAGGGGAGGGGGGGGGGGACTAACAAAAAGCCAGACCCTCACACACCCCCACCTCAATGACGTCATTTATAAATAGTAATTGACTATTAATAATGTTCAATTAATTCTAAACGTAATTAATTTCTAAATAATTATATAAAAATAATCTTACCTGCCCTGTTTTGTGAATTAGATGTGCCTAATACTATGAAAGTAAATTAATATCTGTTGACTAGATCTAGATCTAGATCTAGTGCTGTCTAGTGTCTGACAAAATGTGCTGAAGTGTTGAATCGTACGGTTAGGAAGTAGTTCATAAACGATACATTTATCTCCTCGATACTTGTGAGGTTGAGAAAGAGGGGTGGGATAGGGGTCGGCTCGGGAAAAAAACTTGAAAGCGACATCAAAACGCCTTGATCTATGTACGTCAGCATCGCCCATTGTAAAACTTACTCAGGGGAGATTATTCCAAGTATAGACTTTAAAAGTTTACTATGATATTTCTCGTAAAAGCAAAAACAAGTAACCGTATATAAAACTGAAGCTTCTAGTATAGTATTAGGGGTCATCCATAAATGACGTCACGCTTTTTTTGACGATTTTTACCGCCCCCCCCTCCCCTCCGTCACACGTCGTCACAAAAAGCCAGACCCCCCCCTAAAATGACGTCACACCTCAACCTACAACCCCCCCTCAAAATTGCAGTTGAATTTTTTTAAAACATCGATATTTTTCCAAAATCTTGTCTAAACTATTACAATTTATTAAAACAGTTATCTAAAACGCGAAATAACGTCTAAAATTCGTTTTCTAACATTGCTTTTTTATAATGCAAAAATGTGACGTCGCAACATCTGACCCCCCCCCTCCCCCTCATCAC